AAAATCATAGCTGATTAATTTAAATATAAAGGTTGCAGCTCAGACTTCTTTTTAGTTAAATACGACAAAGTGGGGGACTTTCCTTGGAGATGTACCTTCATGGATCTAGAGAACCAGTAACAATAATGAGAGAAAGCAAGAGAGAGGGATGTGGAAGTGAATAATAAAAAGAGGGAGAAAAGGCCACAGAAGAGAATTTTAGAGAGATGTTAAACAAGTAGGTTGCTGTTACAAGGAATTGAGTGTGAGAAAAGAAAAAGAAACATCTTAAAACATTTTTCATACTTGGTAAGAAATATATAAGATACTTAGGAACAAATTCCTCCTGTATTTGATCAAACAAAGTAGGCAACTTTCTTTTTTCTTCCTCAATTTTTCATATTGATTTCCAAGGATCAGTGACACAGCAGTTTGAGGGTAATATTGCTCTTAAATGATATGCAATTCTCGCTTAATTATATACTGTAGTAAGGACATCTCAACTCTACTTTCACAACTTATTACTAATAAATAAATAAATATTAATATAAAAAAAATTGAGCATTAGTAAATGAATTAAAAGGCAAACGCACAAGAATCAAGTCACATCTCTATTCCAGCTCACGTTCACACTTGCCGACGCAAAACTTTGATATATATATTGATACAAATCTTGTAAGAAGACACACGACTATGCTTTTCCTTGAGTATAAATCACCAACGATGGTCAAAATGGAGTACGAGAATAGTAAGAAAACAACGAAGTGAGTAGATTAATTAGAATCAGAAAACCCCAGTTTCATGTAGTAGCCCCCCCCCCCCCCTCTTCTGTTTCTCCTTTTCTTGGCAATCACATATAAACAAAATACAAAAATTTAAATAAACTACAATATTGACACTAAGCATACATGCAAAAAACCACACGGCCTGGTGGTTGTCAAGCAACAAATATTCAGAATAACACATACCTTAATTTTCTTGAAAAGGTTTGGGATGTTTTCATCATCGAAAGGGAGAGTACCACAAAGAAGAGCATATAAGATAACACCACAACTCCACACATCAACTTCAGGACCAGCATAGAGTTTTCCAGAAATTACCTAAAGGTACAAAGAAAGGCAGACCATGTTTCAAAGAGGTATCATAAACGTCTACTGATGACATTAGCCGCTAGGCCCACTAGTATTCTGACAAAGCACAGTTTTAATAACGTATTCTGGACAATGAAATGACAAAATAAATGTACGAGAATCAGCTCCAATAACATGCAGACTCACTGTATATCATCGTGCAATTCTTTTCACATATCCTTGAAAATTGACAATATAAAACCAGGAAAGGCTAGACAATTTAAACAAAAATAAGAAACTTTACAAGAATCAAGGATATAGTGAAGTGATAAAAGAACAATAATGTGGCAAGACAAAATCAATAGAAATTTTCAAGAAACAGCTAAATGCCAAACTGGAGGCTTTGATATTCAATCTCCGCCTTAAAAAAAACAAGCGGTATAGGATAAATCAGCTTTGGAGCAATGTATATAGGCTTGCTAAGGTCAAATAATAAATTGCACACTCTGGGAAAAAAAAAAAGAGGGGGGAGGGGGGGGGGGGGGGGGGCAGGGGGCATACCTCAGGGGCTGCATAATTTGGGCTTCCACAGCTGGTCTTCAGAAAATGACCATCTCTCATAATGTTGCTCAAACCAAAATCCGCTATCTTCACATTGTGATGCGAATCTAATAGAAGATTTTCAGGCTTCAAGTCTCTGTGGACAACCATATTCCTGTGACAATACTCTACTCCTGATATAATCTGCTCCAAAAAAGCAACAAAACAACTTAAAAATGACGATAAATTTTATTTGAGAGATATGACAAGTAATATAAGAAAAGTAAATTCTACCTGTTGGAAAAAATTTCTTGCTTCACCCTCTTGTAACCTACCCTTTTCCACTATGTGGTCAAATAATTCTCCAGACTTGACATACTCCATCACAACATAAATGTCTGATGGTGTCTCAATAACTTCATAAAGCCGAATAATATGGGGATGCATGAACAGTCTCAAAATTTTGATTTCTCTTCTCACTGCAAAAGCAGAAATAATGATTCCATCATCTTAAAATGATCTTAGTTAAGCCAAAGAGCAAGTAAAAACAACAATGATCTAGCAATCAAACATCAAGAGCCTACATAGTTCACAACATGATGATAGCGCCTGAAAACAAGTCAACATAGATGAAATTCAACTCAAAAGGGGATTAAATTGTGGCAAAGAACAATAAAATTAAAATCAATATCATCAACATACATTGATAAAGGGGTTTCAACCATTGGAAAACAACCTTATCCCCAACGGTTTACATAATCAATCATGCTAATTAAGTAGATTGAACCACTATAGTTGAACTCAAGCAAACTAGAATGCCACGCCTACTGAAGAAATCCAACATTGACTCGTTTAAGCTTTCCTAGGTGTTCGATTGCTTTTCAAACACAATACCCACACATATTCATCTAAACTAGTGAGCACACAACTGTTGAGGAACAAACAAAGTCCGAAGCATGATGAATATAACAGTAAGAATAATTTTAACATTACAACATACAGTGACAGTCTAGTGAAAAAACACATCAATCATAAAACATCTAAAATACCAATAAAATCTAGAGCATAAGAATGATGATAGCATATTCAAGTAATCGAAGATAATAACAAAAAACATACCTTTCTCCTCCATCTCCATATTTTTAATCTTCCGGCGATTCAATATCTTAATGGCAACTTTATGACTAGTCAATTTATGTTCAGCAATCTTCACCTTACCAAATGAACCAATGCCAAGAGTTTTACCAAGATTATAATTTTGCAAGAACACATCGACACTACTGCCGCCTCGGCCGCTATGTCCGTCCATTTCCCTGCAAAATCCTCAGGTATATATAAACAATATATAGGTCAACTTTAATAAATTCAACACTTAACAAGCACTCCACCATATTGGATCTAACCCTAATTGCCACCACCACCAAGCTCACTATCATGAAATCAATTTCCGATCCAAATTAACAAAATTCAATACAATATAACACAAGATTAATACGCGGAAAATTCCCCAAATCTGGAAATTAATTTGACCTAAAAAAATCGAAAGAGATGAGCAATCAAAGTATAATAAGAAAACAAAAACAACAAATGATTGAATTTACCTGGGGACTGAATTCAATTATCTGCAAAAATTAATACCCTATATCAAATTGATCCTCGAATTGGGGAAAAAATTGTAGGGAAGGAGGACGGACACCCTTTGGCTGTATTTTGTTTGGGTTGATACTTTTTATTATTTCAGAATCTATTAATCTCATCATATTTTGGGGTTTGCGGGTTTTGGACCTGAGGTTTGTTAACAATCTACGGCTTAAAATCCAAGCGAAAAAATAAATAAATAATTGTGTACTCTGTAATAAAAATGCTCGATCCGTTTAATTCATTTGACCGATTTGAAATTATTTTTACTGAACTGAAATTATTTTTATTAATTATTTATTTTACTTTTTCTTTATTATTTTTATAGAATTGGACCTACTTTTAATGAACTAAAATCATTTTATTGAATACGACTATTATTTTTTAAAGACGAAGATTTTATGGTTTTTAAAGTGAAGATGATTAGGGGTGGTAATTCGGGTCAGCAGGTCGGGTTCGGGTCAGATTTCGGGTTATGCTTAGAAACTATTAAAAATAGTGTAAAACTTAATATTATTACGAAATATGAAATTTGGGTCAAATCGGGTCGAATTCGGGTTATTCGGGTTCGGTTCAGGTCGGGTTCGGGTCTCTCTCAGTAACTTCGGATCGGGTTCGGGTCGGGTTTTCGTGTCGGGTCAGGATTTGCCAGCCCTAAAGATGATGAGGATTTAAATGGGATTTAACCATCAATCGCAAATGAAAGGTTTGGATGTTAAGTCTCAGTCAAGAAAAATTAAGCTACACAAACGCTTACATAAAACTTTACGGAGTATTAAATTCAAATCAATTAATCATCATCTATTTCATTAAACACCATCACGTGTTTATAAGCTAAATAATTAGCCTAAAACACGTGTATAACAAAATCTAATACTAGAAAAACTAATGATATCTTGTAGAGATAAAGTTTTGCAAATCTATCCTTTTATAACCGAATTGTACTAACAATTATATCCTAATTAATTATAGAAATAAACAACTAAATCTTTTAACCATGTATAAATTAAAGAAATTAAGGAGTACTAAAAAACAATCGTTTTATCTCTTAAAAATTACAGGAAAAAAAAGGGGTAATTTCACTAGCTCGGAAAAGAATTATATTATGAGAAAAGATAATAAAAAATTATATTATATTATAAAGAATTATATTACAAGTTCTTTAGATTTTTGGTAAATGAAATTACCATCTTTTTATTATTATTTACTCCGTATTAATCTAGCAAGGATGTTAATACTTCGTATTATTTACTAACAGATTATATTCCGGATATTCCAGGAAATGTAACCGATGTTCAGAGAATCCCCTGAAAATTTCTCTTAGTCAGGGAGAGCTTGCCTAGTTGAACTCCACAAATTTGTGAAGGATCGGAACAACCAGTTCCATGTTGAGTTGTCCGTCTGCACCTCGGCACCATCTTAGTCTTACTCGGCGGAACCATTCTGTTTTGCTGCTCCTCAAGTTCCGGGTTATGTAGCCCACTGGCCCCCCTCACGTTCTAGTTGGGATTGCCATTTTCATGTAGCTCTGTGTTTTGCAATTGTTTTTAATATTGAGGCTTGGCTAAAACTCATGCGTCTTTGCGTACGTGACTTACAGCAATAAGTATCATACATTGTGACATGGCTAATTACGTAACATGGCTAGTAATATTCAAAATACAATTATACAAACAAGAAACTAACACAAACATTGCGAAGACAGAATTTTCATAGTAATCATAATATGGCTAATTATGTAATCCAATTAATCGCACTAAAGCCTCTATGCCATCATAGGAAATGTGTGGCCTAATGAGCTCAAACATAACTTTATTTTTGTGTACATGAATAAGAATTACAAGATAAATAAATAAACAATAATCTCTTCCAGCTGATGAGTTTTCCGGAAACAAAGCAGCGAATTCCTCCCTTATTATTCATGAATTAGAATAACAACATAAAGCTACCAAAAAAGGCAATAAGTATCATACATCAATCTGCTATTATGATCTCAATTTCAAGGAGCGAGACAAGATGTTTTAGATTTACAAGGGAATAATAGTAATTCCACAAAATGAACTGCATTTCAGGCTTTTCAGCTTACTGAACATGGAAATGGAGCGAGGTTCACTATTTTACACGAATTTTTCTGCTGGATGGTGCAAATCATGCAGCCTTTGGCCATGTTGCTTGGGCTGACATGATGATACCAACAATCACACCGAACAACCCAAGGGCACTACCAAAAATCTCGATAACCAAAATCTTCACAAACAGCGAGGAGTTTTGAGCATCAGATAAAGCACAACTGCTTCCAATTATACCCACGCATAACCTGTTGCAGAGTCATAAGTTTTATATCAAATAAATGGGATGGACAAAATCCTTCAGAATACAGGTGGCCAGTGGACTGGATCCGATCCATTGCAGCCTGGCTACCAGGCTACTTGGATCAGTCCACCAGGTGGATGAGTTACCCATCAAACTTTAGACGAAAAGGTGGCAAACCTGGGCTGCCCCCCAGCATATCTAACTCAATGGCCACCTCTACTTCAAGAAGAATCATTCAATGTCAAAGAAAGTATACTCACCCACAGACAAGGTTTGCAAAACCAACAATAAGTCCAGATGCAAAGATTGCATATCCTGCTCTAAGAGACTCTGGTTCATAAATCAGAGATGATGGGACACTTTCTAGCTTTGTCTGCAGAATGATAGCCACAATTACTCCATATATAGCTACAGCTTCACAAAAGATTACACTGGAAAAAAAAAAAAAAAAGCATTTTGGTTACTCAAAAGAAGCCGACAAGTAGATGTAAAACATATAAAACATTTCTTACTAAACATGCCACTGATATGTTTACTATTTGACCAATATACACATTGATATCATTGTTCTCTAATCGAACAAAATCAGGATTATGAGTGCATTCATAATCATTAATCATCAAAAAGCATATACTCCGCAATATATATATATATATATATATATATATATATATATATACAAAGTATATAAGTTTAGAGCAGCTTTATTGATCCTCTTCACATTTGTACAGATTGAAGAAAAATCAATGAAGAACTGACCACGAAAGGAATTTGAAGGAGACCATAATGAAAGTACAGTAAGTAAAAAGGGGAAATTTAAGCAGGCAGTACAAGACTAAATCAATCACTATTATCGGAATTCAAAAATCCACATCTACGTTATACTTCAGTTCTATCCAAATTATGAGGTCAACAACAGCATATTAGAATCACTCCGACAAAAGGTTCTATAAGAGAACATATGATTTCAAAAAACTCAAGATAAATTTGATCCAAGGATCAAATGCAGATAGATAATGTTTCTGTCTATCCAATGTTGCTCTTAATCAGTCTTTATCCAAACATCCTCACTTTTTCTTAGATTACTTTGTGATCTTAGATTACTTTTTCTTCCTCTCTTTTTCTACATACTGTCATGAAGATGAGCAAAATCCTGCACTTTCAAACTTCATGCTCCAAAAAAAGTCAATATAAACTACAATCCTCATTTTACTTATAATATTACATATACTTAATGCCTGCCTCAACAAGAACAGAAGAGCATATATCTTCAACTCTTTCTTATTAAAAGTAAGATTTCTAGTCATTTATATACATTGACCATCCAATCGCGGGGGGCGGGAAAGTTGATGTAATGGTGTTTTTGTTGTCTCGTAATATGGAATTTTGTGCTGTTTTGAATAATTGTCATTGCCTGCATTCAAAAATTAAATTAATTATAGTAGTAAGGATGCTTTCCATGGTTATTGTCTCGAAAAGTGACTTACACTGTTATTGTTTATAAATTAGGGAGAAAGTTTTTGTATTTTATGTAGTGATGTTTTGCTTGGAACTTTCATTAAAAGTTTTTTTTTTTTTTTTACTGTGAGATACTTCATTTTCTATCTGTGCATTCTTTTATAGTGAATATTATGATTTTAATTCATATGCTAAGAGGTAGATTGGAAGGAGAATCAGTGATGCATCAATTCAGGCAGACATGAAGTTGTGGCCATTCAAGGTTACACCAGAACCTAGGGAGAAGCGCATGATTGTTGTAAGCTACAAGGGTGAGGACAAGCAATTTGCTGCTGAAGAAATTTCCTCCGTGGTGCTTACCAAGATAAAGGATAAATGCAAAGTATACCATAACATAAAACACAGTAAGAAAAGTAATTTATTCAGAATCTTACAGTCCTATGCTACCCGAACTCTTCATTTCAACAAAGCCGAACTCTTCATTTCAACAAAGTAAGAACCTCAGAATTTTAACAATTTGAACATGTGGGTATGGACACAACACATCATTTTGAACAAAAGTCATCAAAACAATTCACAAAAAGTCAAAGAGGACAAACAAAATTACATAATATACCCAAACAAATCATTCTAAAGAAATACAAAATGAATCAAAAAGCAACAACTTTTATCTCAACAACACATTAACAACAGCAATCTATCTCCTCGTCCAAACATCCTCACTATCTCAATACCTTGTGATCTTAGATATTTCTTCCTCTCTTTTTCTACATACTGTCATGAAGTTGGGCAAAACCCTACACTTTCAAACTTTATGCTCCTAAAAAAAGTCAATATAAACTACGATCCTCATCTTACTAATAATAGTACATATACTTTGCCAAATGGCTGCCTCAACACAAACTGAAGAGCATACCTCTTCAACTCTTTCTTATAATAAAGTAAGATTACTAGTCATTTATGTAAATCGACCTCATCATCTTTCCATGGCAAGCGCAAAAACAACAAACAAAACCATGCTTCTTCAAAGCATACTCACCAATTGCTTTTAGTCTGAGTAAGAAACTGTCTGCTTGTACACAAAATTTCTCAGCCCAAGCACCAATTTTTACAATCTAAACATCCAAACCGCTGTCACTCTATCTACATACTAAACTTCAAATTTCACAACCTAAACCTAGCATTGAACCAATTGACTATTGGACTACCAAATGATCGATTTCGATGATCTGATCAACCTAATCCTTCTAACCCTCTCTAACCCAAAGTACAATGTCAACTACAATACATCAATCTTCCACAAAATCAACCATAAATTCAAAATTAATACAAGATCAATGATTTCCATCACCCAATCCAAATTAAATCAAAAACAAAACACAATGCTGATTAACAGATTTATAACATTGTCAACTGATAGCATAAACATCAAATTAAACTTGCAAAATTAACAATTTAAGAGCTAAAAAATTACAAGGTAAAATTATAAATAATCACCTGATAAGATTTTTGGAGGTAATTCTAGGAGCTTTGATTGCCGCACCAATTAAACTACTCCCAGTAATGTAAATTCCCCTAAAAAATTCCAAAAAAAAAAATCAAATTAAAGAGAAAAATCATAATTAAAAAAAAAACCAGAAAAAAAAAAATATGAATTAGAAATTTACCAAGCAGCACCAAGAACAGATATGCCAATAGAGAGAGCAATACCAAGGGCAGAAAAGGTATAAGGGGAGATCTGAACCAGAGCTCTGGCCCATGAACTAGTTACTGGGTACACCATAACTATACCTTAAATTTTCTCTCTCCTAATTTGGTGATGAAAATTGGGGGATTTGATTTACGGGTTTTTGTGATCTGATCTTGAATTTTTGAGGGTTGTTCGTGGTGGTGGTGTCAGAGGAGAGAGAGAAAATGCTAAGGATTTGAGATTTGGGAATTGGGATGATTTTTGTTTGCTCGTATAAATCTTGCGGGCTTGTGTTTTTGGTGAGTGGTTGAATGGGCTTATTGCTTGTTTGTATGAGTTGTTTCTTATGGTTGGTTGAGTTCGGCTCGACTTGACTTGACCTGAACTCATGGTAATACTCGATCATACTCGATCGATATAAATAATCGTGTTATATTTAGGGAAAAAGAAATATAAATAGTGTAAAAATTAAATTTTTGCATTTGATTTATGTAATATGCTAATTGTTGAATCTAATTATTCAAATGGATTAATTTAACTATTATTTCACCTAAAATTTAGAACCAATGTATAGATTATTAACACGAGGTAAATTTTATGATTACATACAAGTATTATAAAAAAAATCTAAAATAATACAAGTATTATAAAAAAAAATCTAAAATAAACCAAGCTTCTTACAGATTTAAAAAAGTTTTAAAAGGTAATAAAGTATTAAAGCTATTTGTGTGCCTAAACGAATTGAACATCAAGAAGCTGTCTAAGTTATTCTTGTTAACTAAATGAGCCTAAACAATGCAAATTTGTAGTTGTATTATCTTCCTCAATTTTTGCCAGATTATAAGGATAAAGCTAATTGTACGTGTTTAAAAACATTTTTAATGTAAGCTCGGTACATTATACATTCAAGGTTACCTTTTTGCCTATTTGTTCACAAGTTACAAGCATAGCAGAGCAAATGTCACCAGAGCAAAGCAGATGTCAGGGGGACAGCGGATCATTAATACTAAGCAGAGGGCTCAGTAGAGCAGAATCACCAGAGTAGAGCAGAGCAAAGTAGCTCAAAAGAACAGAACCTAACTTTGGTTGTACGGTTGTACCTTACAACATAGAACCGAGTAAAAGAAAAGGCCTTGTGCTTAAGTCACTAGTATCATCTTAATTCCCAACAATCAATCAAAGCCTTAATCCCATAAGTGGGGGTCGGCTACATGAACCAAATTTGATTATTCCGTGTAGTCATTGACCAAAATCTTCCTCCTCATCCCTTACGATCCAATGCATCATTCTCATGTAAATCCATATACTTCATATCCTTCCAACCAAGTCGTTTTCGGTCTCCCTCTCCCTTGTTTAACCCCTCCATGGTTCCCCTCTTCCCCTCTTCGTACCGGATCACCCTCGGGTCTTCGTCTTACATGCCCAAACCAACACAGGCGATTTTCCCTTAGTTTGTCTGCAATGCCTGTCACACCTACTTTTTTGCGGATAACCTCATTTCAGGTTCTATCTCTTAGAGTGTTACTGCACATCCAACTTAACATGTGCATTTCCATAACCTCCATCTTTTTAATGTGCTCCCTCTTAGAAGTCTAACATTCGGTACCATAAAGCAACACTGGTCTTATGGCCGTCTTGTAGAATTATTTTCCCTTCAACTGTAAAGGAATGATTCGGTCACATAACACTCCCGTGGCTGCTCTCCATTTAAGCCAACCCCACTTAATCCTGTGGGCCACGTTTTGATCAATGTCACCATTTTTCTAGATGATCGATCCAAGATATTTAAAACATTCACTCATGATCAAGTCCTTTCCATCCAAACTCACCACATCATTGCTTGTCCCCCTTTGAGTACCAAAGTGGCATACCAAATATTCAGTCTTACTCCGACTTAGCTTAAATCCTCTACATTCCAACTTTTGCCTCCATTGCTCCAACTTAATTTCTTATGAGTTGAAAAAAATACTTAAATAAGGAAAATGCTATGGTTAGCATGTTAAGTGTAACACATAGATCATCAACCTTGAAAATTTTCTTAACTGAATTAGAGTTGTTAATAAAATCATGCAAATGATATTTTCCTATAAAAATGGAGTTTGTTTCTTCAAGTACCTTATAAATACCCCCCAAAAAATAAATAATGATATACTTAACATTTACTAATACAAAAATTAGCAAGCTAATTAAGCTAAGTATTCATGGGTGAATTCACATCTTTTTGCAAAAGAATAGTATCAACCACAAAACCAGTACAACCTGGTAGAAAAATACAATTATCTAGCCTTGATCTTCTTATGGAAAATCAACACCTTAAAATGGTGATTTATTATAAAACTCCAAAATTAGGGTTGCCAATTGGTGAATTAACTACTAAATTTAGAATACTTCTTGCAGAAGTTTTATCATATTTTCCTTTAATTACTGGAAGATTAGTAAAAAATGATGAAGAAAAATGGATGATTAAGTGTAATGATGCAGGGGTAAGAATGGTAGAGGCTGTTGCTAAAGGGAGTGTTGAAAGTTGGTTAGAAAATGTGGATGAAGAAAAGGAAAAAAAACTTATTCATTGGGAAGATTGGTATCATATACCATACTATTGGGCCACTTTTTATATTATGGTAAGTATTTTTGTTAAAAAAACAACTTTAATTTTCGATTTTCTATTTTATTTGAATATTTGTTCTTTCATATTATATTTTCCAATTATTTATGCTTTTTTTAAATGTTGTATTAAGAAAAATATATTGTAACCCGTCTTCTAATATTTTGTATAATATGTTAATATTGATCACGTATAGTTAATGAGTCCTCATTTGCCAAATATTTATAACTAACTAACTTATGGTTCAATTAAACTTTAACTATTTGACTATCATTTTACTCATTGTATCAATTTGTATTAACGAGTAAGATTTAACGCATTTTTCGAGATAAATATTTGAGAGAGCCAGAATGACAGATAATGTAGACAAGACATGATAAACTCGCATGTGTCATTGCAATAACATAGCTCAATCTTTTCTTTTGTTGTGCTAATTTCTTGTGTACTAATTTTACATTGTAGGTGACAGAATTTGAAGAAGGTGGAATGGCCATTGGCTTGAGTTGCTCACATCTTCTAGCTGATCCATTTAGTGCAACCCTACTTATTAAGGCTTGGGCCGACAGAGTACTTCGAGGAAACATCTTTATACCGCCTTTCTTTCACCCTCTACCCAAAATAACTTTGGCCCTTCAAAAGGCCCATAATCAGCCCAATGACCATTTGATCAATCACTACAAAAGCCTCATAGAAGGCCCAAGCCCATCCAAAGTCCAACATTCAAAAACTGTTGCTCTTTCATTTACAGATCATATGGTCCAAGCTTGTATGGATTTGGCCCACTTGAATGGGTCGGATCCTTCGCCTTTTGCCGTTCTTGTTGGGTTGCTTTGGGTTTGTATTAGTAGAGTGAAAGGAGAAACAAATGGGCTTGTAGATATATCCATGGGTTTGGATGTGAGGAAGGTTTTAGGATTGGATCAAGGGTATTTTGGAAATTGCATGGTCTACATCAAAGTTAATGGAGATGACATTGAAGGGGATGATCAACAATTAGCAACTCAAGTAATAGGAGAAGCAATTAGGAAGGTAAACAAAGAGGGGATTATTGACTTAATTGAATGGTTAGAGCATTATAACAGCTTCTCCCCAATTTCTTCATTCGACAAGAATAGTTTGGTCTTTTTGAATCTTGAGAGTGTGGACCCGTATTCGGCTATTTTTGTGGAAGGGTATGAGCCATTCAGAATTAGTTATTACAACGAGTCAGCTATTCTGAATAAAGGGAAAGTTTTGGTGCTTCCATCCCATCCTAGTGAAGGGAAATTAAGTAGAATAGTAATTGTTACACTTCCAAATAATGAAGCTATTGAATTATGTGAAGATAAACTTCTTGCTAGCTTCTCTCCAAAGATTATAATGGCAGCAAGAATATCCACTAATTAAGGTCACACTATATGAAATTACAACATAATGTTGCGTAGCAAATAGTATAATTAGTCATTGGTGATAATATCATGCAATAATAATGCATTCCAACAAAATCTATATATTTTATTTCAATAATTTGTCAAATTTTGGTATAGTTTTGTCACATTTTCTTTCCTAATTAATATGGAATAACTTTTTATTTTATTTTTATACTTCTCTCCAACTCTCCAAGTGCGGCTAAAAAAACTAGTATAGATAATAAGTCATAATCACACACAGATATGTATGTACTTGCATTTGAATATGTCATTTGTCCCTAAATAATACATTTTATACCTTATATTCCGTAACTTCTCCTTTTTTCGCCAAATCTCTTGTATTTAATCATAGATATACACAAAATAATGTTTATTAGCTCCTTGTTACGGACGTTAAGAAAAATAACGTAAGTCCAACATATCATGTTGTGCAAGTTTGAACGTTAACCCAACAATATTTACCTCACCTAGCTCACTCCCCTACACTAATACAAAAGATCTACAATTTTTTCTAGTTGAAGCAAACTCAATATGTTACGTAACATTATATTGCATGCGTGTGTTATTGAGTGTATCACACCTAGGAAGCACAACTTTGCACTTACGTCTTTTCCTCGACATGCCATGTTAGTTGTGCCATTAAGCACGAGTTGCACGATTATTGACTATGGTGCATTGTGCTGTATTTCTGTAGCCTAATAATATGCACTAAGGCCACTAAAGTACTAAACCCTGCCATACATATATAACTACGTAGTCTACAATTAGTACTTTTATCATCGAAACTTTTCCTCTGTTTTTCTAATTGCAATGTTGGAGTTTTAAGCTTGGCAATGTACATTTTATACCATTTATATATATCTTTAATCACTCATTAGTAAAAATATATATATATATATATATATATAAAAAACTAATATTGTGAAAGTATATATTGAGACGTATATAACATATTCCGCATGACTATATTTTTCACTAATTTGAATTTATTTTTCATAAGTAAATTTACTTTATCTAAGCTACTGATAACTCTAATTTGATCTATTTTGTAAGTGAAAATAAGGAAAACATATCGAACGTACAGGGGCTATGTCTAAAGCTCTAAACTGTTACTTTATAAGAATAATACAAGAGGGGGGTTGAATTGTAGTATGGGAGGAATTAGACAACTTTTTGCGGAATATTAAAAACTAAGCTAAATGAACTTATATTCACACAGATAGATTTAGCGTGGAAAACTTTTTGGCGCTAACAAGAAGAAAAACCACGACCACTTGGGATTTTAGGAAAGATTTTTTACTAAAATAGGACAAACAACCTATTATAAGCTAAATACTCTATCTCCAAGTTCCTTAGCGAACTTAGAGTTCCCAGCAATAAATCCCTCAACTTACTGCTCTTCTCTTCTCTTTCTTTCTCTCTCTTTCTCTAGAGTTCACTCAAACTCCCCAATCCCCAAATACAACTCTTGGAAGAAATACTCTAATGAAAGAAAATAAGAAAGTCATCAACTAAAGTAGAATGCGACTCTTAACTCTTTGAAAGCTTAGAAAATAGAATGTATGTTTGCGCAAGTTGAATTTTTCCAGAAAACATCTTCTCTATTTATAGGAAAAATCGTAGCTTGATTAAAACGCAAACACTGCTCCATTCTTACGCCACTACTGCTGCAATCCAACGCCACTAACCTCCACCACTTCCAGTGCTTCAAAAATGTCCTAAAACTCAGGACACGTTAAAGTAATAGGAAGAAATTTCCTAGCTTAGTGGAAGAAGACTAATTCAATTTTCCTGTAGCGCAAGTTTAGGAAATTAGTTAAGGATATTTTTGAAAAATATTTAACCGAAAATAAAATATATTCTTTTAACCAAAAATCAGAAAAAGATATTTTTCATAAATAACTAAACTCCGATCCTATAATTAAGCAACTTCAAATTCTATCTTTTTAAAACAAAACATTTAAGCATTCTACTAAAGTATCAAACTCCTATTGACTCTCACTTACATATATCCTAAAATAAAAATACTTTAGTCTTTATTAATTCTCCGAGGAAGCCTCTAATCTGAGTCTTCGTTCTCCAGCTTCTACTCCGAAGCTTCTATTCCTTCAAAGGAACACTGCAATCAGCCTTTGCTTTTGAGCTTCAGTTCCTTTGATTCGAATAACTCTGCAACTTGTAGTTAGGCTACAGAGTCATGATAATTATTAGTTCCAAATATAAGTTTGACTTGTGTTATCATCAAAACACCAAGGGCAACATAAAACAAGTTGAGGATCCTTCTCATCTACTCATATTTATGGATTCTAGAAGGTCATCAATAATAGTAGAGACGATTAATTTAGGATATGATTAAATAAATTAATCATATCTACACCAAGATCGACTTGCTACATTATTTATACTTTGTATTTTAAATTTTATTTATTAGATGTTTTGTGAAACATGTGGTTTGTAGCTTGTTTGCCTTGATTGCACCTCATAATGTAGCTGCATCGTATGTGAACGAGGAAGATTCGGATGACCATTCAGCAAATGATAATATTAGTCATGTGCATGCAAGAGTGTCATGTACAAGATTTATAAATGTTCATGTATACGTGTACACCTATAAGTAGTACTGTACAGAGTAGTAGAAGTTTTAATTTTTCGATACAATTATATGAAAATCAACGTGTGAGCTAGGATAAATTGTCTCATATACAATGAAATAAATGAAGGAAAAAAAAAAAAGAAGATACTACTAATTGCTAGTAACATATATATGTACGTTGGGGTGTTCGTTCGGTTTGGATTTAGGCCAAATCTAATCCAATTCGAAATAAATTGGTTTTCAATTTTCAAATGCAATCCGATCCGAATTTCTCACCAAATCCAATTCGAATTAAAATTTAGTTATTTGGATTCGATCCGAAAAATTCAAATTAAAATACATTACAAATTTTTAGCGTTTAACGTGATTATAAATTAAAAATAAAAATTCAATTATAAAAACTCAATTCTTGAAAACATGATTGTACATGATTAATACAAGTGTTGAACACATAGTTTTACATGATTAATATTAATGTAATTATAAACATATTTTATCATGATTAATGTTAAGACTATTAACAACTTATTTGTAAAATCACGATTTCATATTTCAGTTTTTTGGATTCAAACAAGGGCAATCCGATCCGATCCCGAAATTCGAATTATCAAAAAATTCAATCTGTTCCGATCTAATTTAAAGTTCGGATCCGATCCAAATTAATAATTCGGCTTGAATTGGATTAGATGATTTCGGTTTTAATCTGAATAATAAACACCCCTATATGCACGTGTGAAGTGCTTATATATGTTTGACGAGTTACCACTTACCTGCATATTGTTAACTGGTTTTATGATTGATTTTTGTAGGACTTGAGATTGGTTAGATTCTCCTCTAGCCGGTATAGCTCATTGAAGATTATCGATGACCTCACTTATATTGATCTATACAATATGTACAAGTTAACAAGTAGTTGTTTAAACTTTCCAACAAACTAACACCAAAAAAAAAAAAAAAAAAAAAAAAAATTCCAACAAACTTCGTCTACACACTATTTACATACTTTATTGAAACAAAACTTTGACATATGTTCGTTGTTGTTAATAATTTATTGAAATAAATTAAAAGGTTGGACAGATTAGTTTCATGGAAAAAATATTCATAATACAAGTAATGACTTTTTTTTTTACTCCGAGTAATAGATATTTAAAGATGAATAATTATGGTCAAATTTGTGTATTCATAAGCTTAGCTTGTGCTATCAATTTTCTTGAAGCAAAGAATAAATTATTACTGTTTTAATTTTTTTTACTGAGTATTGTATTACTTTCACATAACAAAATTCAATAAATACTTTAATTTATTAATAAATTATTCCATATAGACCATTGTTAGCTAGTCAATACATTTAGAAAAATGAAAAGGTCAAACTTATTTTAAATTTCAATTTAAACACATGATCAAGTGTAGAAATTATAAATATAAGAAGTATATATAAAACTTAAAATCATTTGTCTCTTACCTCTAAAATATAGTCTAAAAACTGTAATGGCCGTACTCAAGCATCTTATTTGTTATTTCAAACTTCAAAGTCTTGGTTGTGTTCAGAGGAGAAGGGACTAGCTAGTAGTACATACGTACGATCTCTTTGTATTTCTAGAATGTCTTTGCTCGTCGTACGTAGCAGTTAATTAGGGTATAAAATAAGAAGTATTTCTAAACTACTTTGATTTCTTTTAAATAGATCAGATTGTCTGTTTGTTTTGCCAGTTTGCCTACATACAAGCAACTTGGCCTAGGGGATGAGCAAATTGGGTATCCGGACAAAATTTTAGGATCTGGACCCGGAATTGGCTGGGAACGGGTCCTAAAATTTGGAACTGGTACAATCGGGTCCTAAAATTTAGGAATTGGAATTGGTTTCACCAGGTACCGGTTCCGATCTCGGGTACCCACTTATATATATAAGTGTTGAAATATAATACAAATCATAATTTTTTTTTTGGTGTATTTTTACTTTTAACGTTTAATACTTATATTTTTATATACATTAAGCTATTTTAATTATATTAAATATTAATGTTTTTTTTTTTAATTTTACTAATTAATTACGTTCAACACATTTTTGTTTTTTTAAATATATTTTGTACAATATATGTTGGGTAACCGGTATAGTAGAGTGGAGAGAAAAATCTAGAAGTTTTAGGGTTTTGTTTCATAGTGGGTTGAGAGTTTTATAAGCAATTGGGCTTAGAAATTAAAATGGGCTATACATAATTCTTTAGTTTCTAAAAAACACAAACAATCCACATACTATATCATATACAACCGGGTACCCAATGGGTACCGGGTCCAAAATTATAGGATTCGGAACCGGAACCGGTTACAACCGGGTCCGAAATTTTGGACCCGGTCCCGGAATCGGTGAGACCAGTTCTGGGTCCGGACCCGGCGGGTCCTAACCGGTTCCGGGTTCGATACCGGGTACCCTGGATCTTTGCTCACCCCTAACTTGGCCAACAGTGTGCCGAGAAACGACAAGGGATGGTTATATTAAATGGATATGTGAATATGTGATGCATTTAACATATATATACGGATGAAAAATTGAAGTAAACAAATGATAAGCGAGTGATAGATAGAGCGAGAAGCATACCAGATCAAACTGGATTCCGGACTTCTGGGTGGTGGTTCATCCCACTCGGTATCCATCCATCCGCAAGCTTAATGTTCTACTTCCTCTGTTTCTTTATAGTTGCAACACACACTTTATCACAGTATTTAAG